TAGACTCACCCTCATCTCTTGTATACAGATGGAACTTTTTGTGGTCAAACATTGTGTTGGTCACGCACAGATTCCATTCCAAGCATACTTCAAGCAGGCTTCTCCCATTGTCATTCACTCTCTCGTCCCCAAACATACCCAGAACTCCTTCATACCCATCACGCTTTACTCCAACCCATCCAATAAAGTCCCCTAACATCACGATCCGTTCATTCTCTCCGCATTTATTCAAGACCTCTCTCATGCTATCCCAAAATTCCTCTCTCTCTTGTTGTGATTTTAGTGACCCACCTCCACGCAGCTCCGTCGGTGCATAGACCCCAAGGATAAACAAGCGGGTGAGTCCGACTTTTAACCTAATCCAGAGGAATCTTGGGCTTATACATTCATGCTCCATCACACATTCAACCATTCGAGATGAAAGAATCACACCAACTCCCTGACAGCCTCGGCTGGTTTGGGGGACTCCCGACCAGTATACCGTGTAGGGGCCATGAACCGTGGTGTCACATCCTTTCCTCTTGGTTTCGTTCACGCACAGAATATCAATGCAACGTTCATCCATCATCTGACATACTCCATCTACCTTACCATCCATCCCTCCTCTTACATTCAACGTAGCGAAGCGGCTCTCCGTGGGCCGCTTTTCGCCCCCGCGAGAAACGAGACGTGATGGGTGGCGAACCACATCGCCGCCATTTTGGTAAATTTTTTGATTATCCATTGCGTTCCCACGAATAGCGAAGGAAAGGTTTGTCCCCCCAGCATAGCCCCGCATACCAGGGTAAGGCTAGGCTAATTCTGGGGTCGCCCGGTCCCAGGGCAGTGTGGCACGCTAACGACTAGGCTCGCCCCTAGCCATGCATCCATCCGCGCGGCCGACGTTGGATTGGCGGAGGGTAGGAATAGGAAAACGGGAAGGATAGGTGGTGTGAAAAGGAAGAGTAAGGTAAGTTAGGGTAGGAAATAGGAAATGTAGGATATTACCGTCCTTGAGGGCAAGGGATAGGACAGTAATAGCTAGGGTAGCCGGGGTCGCATACCCGTATACCATACCACAACTACCGGACAGGTAAATTGGGATGAGTATCCCTCGACTCGTGCAACATAATCATAATAATTAATCATAACAACAGGGATAAAATACAACTTACAACCTCAGCCGCGTAAGCGGTTTGTGACACCTTTGTTTTAATTTCTAAGTATGTTCATGGGAACGTTTTTTCAATTACGTTGTATAATGGTAGGTACCATATCAGTTTTAACCATGCATTAAAATGATATCGTAAATATAAAAAAACACTACTAAAATACACAGTTCAAGTTTGTTTTACGAAATATTTATTAACATTGAAAAAGGCAATTTTATTTCAAACAGATAACATTATTTTAGATTCCGTTGCCTCTTATAAAGAAAAAAAATACGTAAAAGAATACTATTATATTAATAAATTTATAATAGTGTTTCGATATACTCTGGAAATTATTTTATAAGCAAAATAAAAACCAAATATAGTTTAAAATGTACAAATTTTAGATAAAAAACATATGACAGAAAGAAATACAAGTAGAGTTATTGTAAATATGAATTAATGTGTCTAAATATGAAAAAAATCTCGTAAATTCATAAACAAATGTGGTTAAACAATTACGCGCACAATACATACACATACACAACACATTTTCGCGTAGTTGTGTAAATCGATCCATCGATCCCTATAGTTATTACATGTGTAACTTGTTAGTGGCATTTTCGGTAGCATTAATAGTCTTAATACAAAAATGCAAAATCAATTCCTCTCTCACTTTTAGATTATCATACATTTATCACACTTTTTGATTTGCTCGAGGATCCCCAATACCATTAAAATATTATCCTTATTTTTATCGATTAATAGGCCTTTTTTTCCATAATTCTTGTACGTACTTTCTTTCATTTCTTCTTAATATTTTTGAACTTTAGCTAGCTCTCTTTCTCTATATTCACTTATATATTTATTTATCTATTAGGTACCGGAAATCGGAGTATTATTTCATTTCATTTACATTTTATTTTGTGATATTTATCACGCGGGTACTTTATAAATATGGGCCCCCCATTTATTTGGGTATTATATTATATTTTCGTAACATTCATTTCATTTTACTGGTACATATTTTTTTCTATATCAAAGTGAAATGTACCTTGGGTTGTGCGCACAACCTTGAGGTCTACTTTTAAGTCATTTTAAAAGGACTCCAACAATTGTCACAGAGGAAAACTATGTTCGCACCATGATCCAACGGAGGATGTGACCTCAATGTACTATTATTAAGGGTAACAAAGTTAAGACTTCTCTGGTCTCCAACAGTACTAATATGACGAAACTCGGTCACATCACTTGTACTGAAGGTATTGTTCTCTAGTACCCGTTACTTCCGATTTTATCATCCAATCATGGAAACATACCCTGCTCGAGGACTATATGCTTTACCAGTGATGGACGTTCCCGTATCTCTCCATTACCTATTTATTAAGGTCAATTATTTCCTTATATTCTTTCCATGCATAATTCTTGCTCCTAACGGCTTCAATACTACTAGTTTAAGCATCATCAAATATTTGGGTGATCAGTCCAATATTGACGAAACTTATCCGCTCAATCATTCGTATTCCACTTTTAAGCATTTCTTTCTTTCATTCCTCACACCTTTTAAATGCATCATTGCTAATTTTTGTACAAAATGGATTTTTTTTTCAGTCAACGTTTAACTCAGTTATGAAACATTACATACTATTAAATCTCTCTTAGGCTGGCGACGTACATACTTTATAATAGAATAGCATTTTTCTAGTCAGTTTTCCTTTCCGCTTTAATTACGATGTGTACCCTACTAAGGATATGCTGTATTATGTACATGTATATGTTATTGTTATTCTTTATTAGGAGAAGTTATACGATAACGACGTTCTTAATAATAAATGTTTTTTTTGAACATTGCTTAATAAGGAATTAATAAATCTGACATAAATACAGAAACAAATTAATGATAATTGGTTGTAACATTTGCAATTTATAATATATAATGATTGACAAATTAATTATTATTATAACAAGTATATGACATTGAGCTATAATAATACTCTTACGTTGGTATTGTCTATGACGCTGTTACATAATTAATTAGAAAGCATATCAATTAAAAAATATTGAATAATTATATGTGTTGTTAAAATTTCGACAATTATTGTTATGGTTACTTGTCCATTAAAATTTACACATTACTATGGTAGAATATCTAGAACTAAATTATACCTAAACACCATAACGTTGCAAACAAATATTATTATTATCATTACTAAGTAGTTATTTACCGATTAATTATTGCGGTATAATACATAATTTTGAATTTTTCTATTAAAAGTACTAATGTTTTTCCTATTTTTGTAATGAATGATTTAAAATTTTTTTCCCCAGTTCTGTGTATAACATTATATAAGTAATAATATAATTTGACAATAGACATCGACACTATTATATAATTAAACTTACGTTCGGTGCTTTCGAGATGTTTTGTACCTGCTACAGAACTTGACTAGTCGCTCGTTGTACCCCTGACTTCTTTCTGCTGCTCTGGCACTCGAAGATGTTTTAGCTCCCCGATGTGGTTGGGACTGGACTTCCTCGTACTCTTCTTTTTTCTTGCATATTTATATTTTTGATAAAATTAGTACTCGCCTCTTACGGAATTTGGACTAAGCAGTTTTCTGTATCTTGAAGTCTTCTTTTTTGAAACTTGTCAATCTTGATTTTGCTATTAAAACATGTTACTGGAGCTTCTTGTATAATTTGTTTTTCAGGTCTTTTCTTCATTTTTTCTATAACATTTTTTTCATATCATCAAGCATATCATTGTCCTTTTATTAAATTGGTCTTTAAAAATCTTCTTTAAATATAAGAAAAATTGTGGTCTCTTCTTATATTCGTATTTTATTTTATTTGTCACATCCTGTATAATGTTCTTTTTGTTATTATATTTTTATTATAAATCAAAATAAACGTATTTATTTTCTTCAACAAAACTTCATTTTCTATGCAGGGCCTTTCTTTGGGAGATTTTGACGACAGCTTAACCCAGCGGACTACTAGCATCAGTGGTTTGTTCTTTAATATTTTGCACATTAAAAAAACTATTTTCCTATTTTTATAAATGTCTGTGATTTGATTTAATTGTTATTAATATATTAAGAAGAAGATATTAATTAAATTAATAACAATTAAATCAAATCACAAAATATACTTTTTCTTCACAATATGCTGATGCGTCACATTGCGAAGTTTTTGGGAGATTTTGACGACAGCTCAACCCAGCGGACTATTGATGACAACAGAACTCAAGTTCATAAGGCGCCCAAGCGATCAAATTAACTTGAGGTTAATATCAAACATCAAAGAATTTATTTTGTCGTTTTCTCAAATAGTTCACACGCGCAGACACTTAATTTACAAAATCACATCACTTTTACGAATTAAAATCCACTTAAAAACATTATTCAAGCGACAAAACAAGAGCGACAGTCCGTCGTCGCTCAAGTTCCCGCCAAAACTCTGTGTCTCAATAGCATGCAAATAACCCCAGAGCAGAACAAAAACAGAGAAGAGAGTTTTTTTAATACTACAGACAGCCACTTCAATTTATTTATGTGCATACTATATTTTAATTTTAATATGAATATATGATTTCAAAAATATAAGTCATATTATCTGTTTGTGTTATCAATGTAATTTTGTTGTCAATGAGGGCTAATATTACGGTTACCAGATGTCGCTAATTGACACTGAGGTGATTTTTTTTGTTACACAATGTCATTCCAATGATAATTTAGGATAAAAAAAGTTTATCAGTTTCTGTATATATTGATACACAATTTCAGCAGCAGTTCGCAGCAGTAACAGATAGTTATTATTAATTAAAGAGTTGAGTATAAAACGAAAAAGTATATTTTAATATATAAAAAAATGGCCAGCACCAGCACAGCAATGGAGGTTGAAGAAGTCCCAAAGACGTTCGAAAGAGAAAGAGATACAGAAATTGAAAAACTATTGAAAATCTTAGACATTATAATTAACGAGTTAGGTCCGATAAATGAAAAAAGCATCTGTGATTATTTTAAAAATAAAGTGATTGACATAGACACATCAGATGAGTTAGCAGGTGTTTCGATTACCGTGTTCACATGCCTTAGGAAAGAGGAGAATGATCCAACAGGACACACGAGGTATAAGGGGTATGTGACAAAAGTTATGGAAACGCAAGTAGCAATATTAACAATAGTGGAAAAAGTGAAGAAGGTGAATATAAAATTGGATTTTAAGGTGGCCACTCCTATTGTCGAATCAATGACTATTTAAAGGCTTTTTTGATGAAGTAAGAACGGGAGTTACTAAATTCAGAGTACGTGCACAGAAGAACCCACAAGGTGTAGCAAAGAGGGACGCAAAAGGTATCATAATAATTCTACAAACAAAGGAAACTGAACATAAGTTATCACAGTATGGCTTAGTTAATCAACATATACCCCTGCAACAGGGAATTACACTGGTACCAGAGAGAAGAACAGGTGTGGTAAGAAGTCTGGGTCCTTTAACACAAGCAATACTTTTATTAATGGAAAACACATATCATACTAAGCTGTCAACCTCATTGTTAAATTGCTTACAAATGTTACCTATGAGTTAGGAAATAGTCAACTGTTTGAGGGCCTCTGACACACCCGGAAAAGCAGCTGGTGTATTAAGGGAATCGGGGGACATCCTACTCATGACTACAGCTACATCCACTCAAAAGATTTACTTCCCAATATTGTTATTGAAATAAATGTGGAGTGTCAAATCATCTAAGGTGAACTGGATTTTCTCTGGAGCTGGCATGATGAAATTTTATACAGCTGTTATAAATGATGGATTAAGGTTTGCAATGAAATCTGGAACAGATGAGTTATAAACAAGCGAGGTTGTGTTTCATGCCATGTTCGGAACATACCTGGAAGATTTGGCAATTTTAACCCAAATAACTACACATGCAAAATGGCATCAAAGAAAGGATCTAAACCCAGTATTCCATAAGAGGTCAACTAAATCAAAGGTAGCGTTTACTCCTATTACTTTCAAATATTGAAATAATACTAGTTTTTACGGAATTTATCGCGTATATTTAACTTTTTAATTACCCGACGTTTCGAACGCTTTACAGCACTCATGGTCACGGGCAGGACTGAGATGTTCAACGTCCATATGTTATAGTTAACCGCGGTTACCATAGATTAAAATTTAACTTTTGTTCCGATCTATGCAGTATGAACTTATGGTATCTTGAAGTCTTGCAGTTGTATGCTTGGGTTGGGATTTAATTTTATTTATTATAGGATCTCAGGCAGATGGTAGCACCCAGCCATCTTCTCTATTGAAATTAGGATGTTTTTTGATTTCAATAGCCTCGCGAATCATCCTTGGAAGGAATCGGTGTTCTTTAGCGAGGATTTGCGGTCTATCAAATCTGATGTGGTGACGGGGGCGATCCTGTACGTGTTCACAGACTGCAGACTTCCCGGAGCGTCGATTCTTCACATCAGCTATATGTTCTTTAACGCGGGTTTTTATTGATCTTTTAGTTTGTCCTATGTAGGAGAGACCACATTCAAAATCAAGCTTGTACACTCCTACATCTTGCAGAGGGACATTACACTTGACCGATGGTAAAAACTGACCAATCTTCTTCAGCGGCTTGAAGTATGTTTTGATGGAAGCGCGCTTCAAGATGTAGCCAATCTTGTCAGTGACTCCTCTAACATATGGCAGTACAGCAGGTACACGCTCGACTGTGGCCGGCTTCACTCGTTCACTGTGACGTAGGCGCGGGACTCGAAGCTTGTTGTCATGCAAAACTTGCTTGACATGGTGGAGCTCTGCAGCCAGGTGTTTACTGTCACAGATCCCTCGTGCTCTCTGAAACAAAGATTTACCCACGGTAGCTAACTGTGAAGGATGGTGGTGTAGAATCACCGTTTAAATATCTATCTGTATGGGTCTTTTTTCTATACACAGTATGGCTAAAGGTGTTATCAGGATTCCGAATTACTAACACATCTAGAAAAGCTAAGGAATTCTTTGCCTCTAACTCCATTGTGAACTGAATTTTAGAATTTATAGAGTTAAGATGGTCTAAAAATGCAGTTACTTTATCTAAAGGTAGAATTGTGAAAGTGTCGTCTACGTACCGCTTGTAGAACCTTGGATTTATGGGAGAACTAAGCAGGGCTTTCTCCTCAAAGTCTTCCATGAATATGTCGGCGACAATGGGAGAAACTTACATCCGACAAAAGTTCTTGTATTTTAGAATTATAATTACTTATAAAAAAGGTTAAAAACGACCCAACAAATAGCACACTAAAAACAACTAGTGACCTCATAAGGAACATTCCGAAAAATTAAATCTGGACGTAAAATGGATAATACCTACGTGCGCCAAATCACCAAAATTGTATGGGTTACCAAAAATACACAAGCCCAATGCTCCATTACGTCCCATAGTGAGCCAAATCGATTCACCAACTTACAGATTGGCTCAACACTTAGCGAAAATACTCTCACCACTCAGGGGACATACAAGAGCACACATAAAGGATTCCTACCATTTTGTCAGCGAGATTAAAGACCTACATCTGGCAGACAAAGAAACTATGGTCAGTTTCGATGTGCAGTCATTGTTTACATGCTTACCTGTTGAAGACTGCATCTCAATTGTAACTAGAAGGCTGGAAGAAAACAACATGCCCGTAGAATATGCAGTATTACTCAGACACTGCCTTACATCTGGCTACCTATTGTGGAAGGAGGAGTTCTACAAGCAAGTAGATGGTGTGGCGATGGGCTCACCTGTATCTCCCATTGTCGCCGACATATTCATGGAAGACTTTGAGGAGAAAGCCTTGCTTAGTTCTCCCATAAATCCAAGATTCTACAAGCGGTACGTAGATGACACTTTCACAATTCTACCTTTAGATAAAGTAACTGCATTTTTAGACCATCTTAACTCTATAAATTCTAAAATTCAGTTCACAATGGAGTTAGAGGCAAACAATTCCTTAGCTTTTCTAGATGTGTTAGTAATTCGGAATCCTGATAACACCTTTAGCCATACTGTGTATAGAAAAAAGACCCATACAGATAGATATTTAAACGGTGATTCTCACCACCACCATCCTTCACAGTTAGCTACCGTGGGTAAATCTTTGTTTCAGAGAGCACGAGGGATCTGTGACAGTAAACACCTGGCTGCAGAGCTCCACCATGTCAAGCAAGTTTTGCATGACAACAAGCTTCGAGTCCCGCGCCTACGTCACAGTGAACGAGTGAAGCCGGCCACAGTCGAGCGTGTACCTGCTGTACTGCCATATGTTAGAGGAGTCACTGACAAGATTGGCTACATCTTGAAGCGCGCTTCCATCAAAACATACTTCAAGCCGCTGAAGAAGATTGGTCAGTTTTTACCATCGGTCAAGTGTAATGTCCCTCTGCAAGATGCAGGAGTGTACAAGCTTGATTGGGAGTGTGGTCTCTCCTACATAGGACAAACTAAAATATCAATAAAAACCCGCGTTAAAGAACATATAGCTGATGTGAAGAATCGACGCTCCGGGAAGTCTGCAGTCTGTGAACACGTACAGGATCGCCCCCGTCACTACATCAGATTTGATAGACCGCAGATCCTCGCTAAAGAACACCGATTCCTTCCAAGGATGATTCGCGAGGCTATTGAAATCAAAAAACATCCTAATTTCAATAGAGAAGATGGCTGGGTACTACCATCTGCTTGAGATCCTATAATAAATAAAATTAAATCCCAACCCACGCATACAACTGCAAGACTTCAAGATACCATAAGTTCATACTGCATAGATCGGAACAAAAGTTAAATTTTAATCTATGGTAACCGCGGTTAACTATGAAATATGGACGTTGAACATCTCAGTCCTGCCCGTGACCGTGAGTGCTGTAAAGCGTTCGAAACGTCGGGTAATTAAAATGTTAAATATACGCGATAAATTCCGTAAAAACTAGTATTATTTCAATGTGTAGTGTTCGCGTAAATATAAGAAATCTCTTTCAAATATGTTTCGAAGGGTCATGAAAGAAACTGGTGGAAAAATTTGGGATGTGCAAGCGGGATTTAGAAAGGGAATGGGATGTACAGATCAAGTTTTTTCCATGTGCATGATCGCGGAGAAGTTTTTGGCCAAAAACCAAAAGGTTTTTTGTGCGTTCATGGACTTGGAAAAGGCCTATGACAGAGTGAATAGGGATATGTTATGGCAAACACTGAACTCATTTGGGATGAGCGCTGGCTTGATACAGGCATTGGAGTCTCTTTATAGGGACTCTAGTGCTTGTGTTAGGATCAACGGGGTCTACTCGGACGGGTTTGACATCCATAAAGGTGTCAGACAGGGCTGTGTGCCTTCCCCGTGGCTGTTCAACCTATTTATAGACAGTTGTTTGTAAAATTTGAAAGTTGAAGAATGTGGATTAAGAATGGGTGAGTTAACCGTCAAATGCCTTATGTACGCCGATGATCAAGTTATTCTTGCGTCGTCGGCGGCCGAGTTGCAAATGATGGTTACATTAATGAACAGATCATTTAAAGAAAGGGGTATGAAAGTGAACGCGAGTAAGACGAAGGTTATGGTTTTTGAAAGAGAAGAAAGTAAAACGATTTGTGAAATAAGAATAAAAGGGGAGTTGATCGAGCAAGTAGATGAGTTTGTATATTTGGGTTGAGTATTTAGCAGGGATGGGAGATATGATAAGGATATAGAACGAAGAGTGAATGCGAGAAATAGAGTAAATGGGGCCCTGCGCTCTATTGTGAAGAGTCAAAATATCTCGAAAAAGGCACGTATGGCAATTCATAATGCTGCGTTGGTCCCTACTTTAGGTAGATGGGGTCAGTATAAACAACATTAGTTATGCTGACGACATGGTTCTGTTGAGCCCCTCAATCAGTGGTCTTAGGCGATTAATACAAAGAAAGGATCTAAACCCAGTATTCCATAAGAGGTCAACTAAATCAAAGGTAGCGTTTACTCCTATTACTTACAAATATTGAAATAATACTAGTTTTTACGGAATTTATCGCGTATATTTAACTTTTTAATTACCCGACGTTTCGAACGCTTTACAGCACTCATGGTCACGGGCAGGACTGAGATGTTCAACGTCCATATGTTATAGTTAACCGCGGTTACCATAGATTAAAATTTAACTTTTGTTCCGATCTATGCAGTATGAACTTATGGTATCTTGAAGTCTTGCAGTTGTATGCTTGGGTTGGGATTTAATTTTATTTATTATAG